GTAAATATCACTATATGTGCGGTATTTCATATTTTCAACTCATCTAACTTCAGTATCCCGGATCGCTATTATTTAAAATGGCGTCATTCTATAAAATGAATTGGTATCAGTAGCAAGCATTTCAACGTATTTTATCTACTATTTCTATAAAATTGTTAAGAAACACTTAGTTCTGGGAGTGATGGTATTGCGGCAGAATCGGATTACTTTTAAAGCTATAGTTTTCTACAAAAGTGCTATATATTTCAATATACAGGGCGACTCAAAAAGCTTCCATGGACTTATGGAAGTCATTTCTTCATCTATTTGAAGCACCTCGAACTGAATCTAAAAGTATTATATACTGCTCAATGAATGCTCAAAATGGCCGCCATTGAGTTATTATTTATTTTTATTCATATATTCGGGATACAAACAGAAAAATCCACAACAGTATCCACACAATGGAATTATTGTCAAATTGAAAGTATAAACTAATACACGTGCAACCCTGATTGCCTGGAACATCAAAGAAAAGTTGGAGATTTGTCTCTCTTCTATAGATACTTTCACGGAGAGTGTTCAAGTGACTTGGCACGTCTGATTCCACTAAAAGCGGTACATATCAGATATACGCGAGGGACTGTGGCTGCTCATCGATTTTAGGTTTAACTCGCTACACCTCAAACTTAACTGTTTAAGAACTCTTCCATTTGGAGAACTGCGTTTATGTGCGATATCAGCGATACAAATCCAATGAGAATCGCTACTTTCGCACAGGCACCAGTTTGTGAGAGCCTCAAGGGTTTTCCTGTAGTGCTTGTGTTTTTTCCTTGAAAAAAATCGGTAGGTAGTAGTAAATGGCTAGAGAAAGACTCAGTAAAACTCTTTAGGTAACCACAGTGCATGTAATAAACAACCATGTACCACCACGTTTGGTGGCGGTGGTAAATAAACTGTACCACAGCAATAGCTCAACAGAGCTATTGCTCTGGTTGCAGTGAAGTGAGATACAAAAACAAATCAGAAATGGAAATAGTCATCATTGTGGATATTAACAATCGAAACGTCGTGAAGCAACTTGGCTTGGAATCACTTAATTTTTTGTTTAATTGTTCTATTTTTTTTTCAGGGATTATAAATCATTTTATATAACATATAAAATGGAAGTCGAACTAATGATATTCAACATGAAACATTGTCAATCACCTTCAGATAATTAGGACCTCTCCTCATTGAAAATATTACTGCTGCATTTCATCCAAATCGGATATACGATACTATTAATATTATCACATGAATAATTTTTTAGAAGAGTTTGACAGCCTTTATTTTGCAAACAATACATTCACGGATCTATATGTATATGAACCTTTTTTAACAATTTGATGAAACCAACTATTTCATTTTTGGAACTAATTTTTCGTACAAATACAGGAGATAAAATGAGAATATCCAACATAGTTTCTATTCAGTGAAAATGAATATGATATAAATGAAAAAACTGAACGTCTATGACACATATTCCTATTAGATAATCATTGGTTATATTTCATGAAAAGCATTATCTTTCGTAAGTGCATTTCTAAGAAAATATTCCGAAAAAAATTAGGCTAAATAAGAGTATGATCACATTATACGTTATCAAGTTGAGTATTTTGTCTTGCTTAACGTGTATTGAAATTTGTATTTTGTTGAAGTGTATTTTATACTCGACCTTGACCTTTCACAGTGGAGCGACTTATTCATAAAATTACCAATTTTTCAAGTCAATCCAATTTCCATTCTGAATAGTCAAACCTGCCGAAGGAGATGTTTTAAAACTCACTGGAAGAAATTCGGGATTGTTTCCAAACCAAAATATTTGCAAAACAACCGATTTCTTTCGGAAATATGTATAACTGGAAAAGTTCCATATTATTTTTTCGATAAAAAACAGTTGCAAATCATTCCAATAAGGCAGAGAATCGTTTGCTGAGAAAATTCCAGCTAATAAGCGGTGAACGTTCAAAAATAGACTAGCGTGACAACAATTATTGACATCGATATATAAATAATAAATAGACCACGACTAATGTCTCACGTCCACATACTGACCTAGGGAACCGGTAAAGCCGTCCATTCAAGGTTATTCATGAATTACACTCAACTAGAAAAGCCCTGAAATGGAACCATTTTACGAGACGTCATTCACGATTTGGTGAAAGCTCTCCTTTCCTGCGAGAAAATCCATTCAAATCTCTCCAACAAGTCTTCAGCCTACAAGACTCGCTCTTTGCAATTCCGTATCCGAAATCCTTTTATGCGAACTTGCTCGGCTGTCACTGTCAATTACACAAAATTCATAACGCAGGAGGGCAGGAAATAAGCAGCAGGAGCAGCATCGGAGAGATATGCGGGAAAACAACCGGCTGGGCTGCGTATCTAAACTTTGGTGATCGAAGTTGCGATTGGGTCATAATATTTCACTACATATTGTTTTTTTTCTCGGTTTTTTCCCAAGGACAAAACACAAATACTACATAAAAATGCTCAAAGTGCTCTAAGAGCGGTGCCTGTGCGAAAGTAGCGATTCACATAGGATTTGAATCGCTGGAGATTGAATCAATTTGGAAAAACGTTCTCAGGAAGTTTATTCCACATGAACGCAGTTCTCCGAATGGAAGAGTTCTTGAATAATGGAGTTCGAGGTGTACTGTGTGGAACCTCTTAACAATGAGCAGCCACAGTTCGTCGCGTATTTCTGATATGTACGTCTCTTGATGGAATCAAATGTGCCAAGTTACTTGAACACTTCCCACGAAACCAGTACAGTTACGCCTATCGAAAAAGTTCCAAATACAGAAAATCTGATGAATATCGGCCAAATAACACTTTACCTAGGGCTAAAAAATAGTTAGAATCGATAGTATATCAACAACTGTTGGAATATTTCAATAAAAAAAAAAAACAAACTATTCACAAACCAATCTGGTTTTAGCTCCAGACATTCATGCAAATTCGCACTTCAGCTTACAGTTAATGTTTAGATCTCAAACGTGCGTTTGAAACGGTTAATAGTAAAATATTGATTGAAAAATTTAAGAAAAAATTACTTGATTACCTTACAGAAAGGAATAAGGTAGCCAGAATTAATGAATATGTCGCAACAGCAATAAGCGCAGACCACGGGGTTCCGCAGGGAAGTAGTTTAGGGCCATTGCTATTCTTCATTTACATTAATGATATCAGCAAATGTGATGAATGTGATCATGAACATTATTTTGCTGATGATGCCCTAGTATCGGTTCGTGATGATGATATAGATGAAACTATTCAAAAAATGAATGAAGCATTGAATAATATTGCTACATATCTGAAAACTAATGAATTGAAGCTGAAAGGCTTTGATACTTACTACACCGTTTAACTACAGAGAATTAGAGTTGAATTAAATTAAAATGAAAATAGAAAATTACAAAATTGAGCTCCTTACTGAATTCAAATATCTAGGATTCATGTTGGACAAGCATTTATCAAATGAATTATCGTTTCACTCACATACAAAAAAAAATTCGAATAAATTATATTTTTTCACAAGAGTGTCCTAACACTTAACTATGCAGTCACGGATAACTGTATATAAGACAATTATACAACCACATTTCGAATATTGTCCCACTCTTTTATACACAGGTGATTTGAATAAATTGAGAACACTACAAAAACTACAGAATCGCGCAATGAGGATTATTTTGAGATGTGACAGGAGTACCCATATATCTTTAACGTTAAATATTCTAGAATAGTTATCTACAGAAAGTAGGCTTACATTTTCAAAGATGACTCAAATTCACAAAATGTTACATAACCTTCTACCTTCATATTTTGACAAATTCGTAATTTTTAATAATCAAGTCCTTCAGTATAATACTAGAATAGGAAATACTTTGTATGTAAATAATCAAACAAAAACGTTCAACACTGAACCATTAATTTTCAAAGGATTTATTAAGTATAACAAGCTACCTGAAAATGTGAAGTCTTCTAACAGTCCTATTCTGTTCAAAAGAAATATATTAGACTATTCAAGAGACCATTTTGAGGTGCTACCAAATTATCATGTAATAATTTTTTTGTATTTTCAATCATCGTAGGTTAGACTACTTATTGACAAACAGCAGATCTTTTTTTTCTATTATTGTGTTAATATGAATATTGATGTTACCATTTGATCATTGTTGTATATTAGGATGTATCACATTTGGATGAAGCATTTCAATTCACCAGAATATCAAGGTTGCAAGTGATGTTTGCAAGTCCAATCTGGTGGATGACTCTTTTCTGAATGGAATCCAGCAGCGTCAGGGTATGCCAAGGAGTGGAGCTTTATACACTAGAATACTCCAAAGAAGGTCTAATCTGTAAAGCATCAAAAGTTGCTGAGGTGAGTACAGTTTTCTGGTTCGGAACAATATTCCAAGCTTTTGAGAAGCAGCTCCTGCAATTCCAGCGACTTGATTATGCCAAGACATGTTGGTCTCCATTCCAATCTATCGAGCCAGAAAGCGGAATTGTCTGTCCTGACATCATTATATCAGGTTCGAAGACATTTACCTTCTTGGAGAAAACCGATGTCTGGGTTTTTGTCGCATTGAATTGAACCTGGTTACTTACAACCCAATTTGAAATCACTTCTAGATCCTCAATAAGATATGCAATCTTCTGCTGCCGGTGAAGATGTGCATCTGCAGCCGCTGTTCTGGAATTCGAATGAAATGACGGGACAAGTGTGCTGTCGTCAGCAAAACAATGTATTAAATTCTTGTTTTTCTCCAATAAGTCGTTGATATACAATGAAAAGAGGGGTTGAAGACAATATGATTTCCATTCGCGGCCATTCGCAGGGAACAGACACGTACCTGTCTACATAGAGAAGACTTTCCTATTATCACTCAAAAAATGATGCTGATGAAGACACAATTATGGGTTTTTACACCTGTCTGTCACATAAATGTAATGAAAAGAGAGTTTTTACTCACCTGTGAACAATTCCTTGCCCATGCATATGTGACAAAGCAGAAGCGAATTGTCTGCCGTACATTCTGGTAGGTCTCTCTTCTAAACGACCTTCCTGTTGACTCTTGACGAAAGTGCAAAGATCACCACCAGACACCAACTCAGTTACTAGGTAATACACATTGTCGGATCTCTGAAAAACATAGAGGATTTATTTTGATCCGCTTGAACGCTTTATATATACAATGTATACATGGATGGTTTGTGGAAAATTGCAAATTCATGTTTATCGTTAGCAAGGGACTCAAAGTCCTTCACTGCATGATTAGAATTTTCCGTCTAACTGGAAATAATTTTGAGATAGACAAATGGTAAGTAAATCTACTATTTCCTGTTTTATCAGTGGATTCACGTGGTTTTTGTCTAAGAGACACTCTACTAGTCCAATTATTTCAAATGGTGGAATACTGGAAAATAAATTTTGGACATCGAACTATATTAATTTTGCGTTATCCGGAAGAACTACGTTTTTATTATTATCCACTAATTGATAAGAATTATTTATACTAAATTTTGGCTTGAAATTGGTATAGGTTTGAATCAATTCAATCAGGATTTCTGAGATTTTTCTGATAGATGCCGCACAACTGGTCTAATCGGGAAATTGGTTTTGTGTTATTTAATAAGGGAATACAGTTTTAGTGGTTGTGGAATTATAATCAATGCTCTACATTTATCCTTTCCATTTGTAACCAATTCTATTGTTTTGCGAGTTTCGTCAACCTTTTTCTGGTACATAGTTGTAGGGTCGTTAATCATAATCTCGTAGCTTCCTGAATTAAAGAACTCTCTCGTTAAAATCACTTGATTAGCTTTAACTTTTTTGAAGAAAGAAGGCGAACACCTAGCCTACAGAACGAATTATAATCTAAGTAAATTTATCAAAAACAATAAAGACAAAACTTTGGTGTCCTATGGATCAGGAGTATATAAGCTGACTTGTGGCTCTTGTCCAAAACTGTATATTGGCCAAACAGGAAGAACATTTTCCTAAAGAATTAAAGAGCACAAAAGTAGTTTTGTGAATGGAAAGACCAATTCCACATTTGCAAATCACCTTTCAGCAGAAATACATGAGTTCAATCATGAATATGATGTATTACATTTAGAAGAGAAGAGTTTGAAACTCTATCTTCTAGAATGTTTAGGAATCAATAGATTCAGGAATTCGGATAATTTACTGAATGATCAATCAGAAATGAATAACTCTCCGTTACTGAACATTTTTTCAAATGTGGAAAATGGAACATAAGCTCAGGTGATTTGATTCATTACAAACTAGGTGAAAAATCAGGTACTTGAAATTCAGGTATTTTAAATTGTAGAATNTGTAGAATTAGTTATCAAGGCACACCCCCCGAGAAAGCCAATGGCGAAACACGTGTAGCGTTTTTGTTAAACTGTCTAGTGAAAATCTCTCAATAAAGTGTTTTTAGAATACGTTAGTTATGAATTTTCAACAAGTATCGGTCGATTCCATCATATAACATACCCAAAAAGATAATCCACGGAAAAATTCCGAGTCCGTCGTATTTTTCAATATCCAAGTTTGTTAGCACACCAACCGATTCGAGGTAGTTTCTCGAACGGTCACGCTACATTGCACCTATCGATGAATTTTCGAGAGTTTTCGATTCCCTCTCCACCCCCACTCGACCTGGCAATTTTATCCGGAATTTATGCGCCAATAATGAGGATTACTCGCTGCATGAAATTCCAGCAGCAGCCACGTTATTCTGCCTTCGTAAATCCCAATTTGATCGGCCTATTCGTCTCCGGGAACAAACTTGATGATCGGGGCGTAAGTCGAGCCGGCACAATTTTATTGTGAGGTGTTTAACCGATTCGGTTTTATGCGATCGTAAAGGAAATTCGGGTGCGTATCGGGGTGGTCCTTAATCCGCCATAAAATATCCAAGAGTGAATACCCCGTTACTAATTTATCCACGGGCGGAATTGTTTGTGTCGATCTCTCGGGGGAGAACGAGCTATTAATTTGATGCTGCAAACTCAGCTGGCTTCGCAGTATCGGCGGTTTACTCTAATGAGTTCATTTGGAACTATCGTTGGAACCTACCACGGGAAATTATATCGGATGATTCTTCCTATTGATCACATTATACCTATATGAATCACTCTGACAGAAGTCAAAATTGTAATAGGATATTTGACTCTCTGAAGGAAGGCAGTGAATTGTTTAATTTCCCTGCCTGTAGAAACTATTTAACAGCAATTTGAGTTCAACAATAGAAACTGGGAAGTTCTCATATTTCAGAAACTCAGTTCATGAACAACAAATAAATCCTCATCAGTTACTTCAATCTCCAAGCCAGTTGCAACAAAATACCTTTTTCATCGAACCCGCCACAACCGAAGAGGTCAAGTCAACCTCAAAAGTAAAACGTAATCAGGACCTGATAATGTATTTCCCAATGTTTTGAAACTAGTTTCCTTTAGTGTGGTGCCATCCCTAACTGACCTGATCAATATGTCTATTGAAACCGGTGAATTTCCAGATGTGCTGAAATTGAGTAAAGTGACCGCCATACATAAAAGTGGTAGTAGATCAGAAATGGATAATTATAGAACAATTAGTCTTCTCACTATTTTTTAAAAAATTTTAGAAAGACTAATGTACAATAGACTAATTGAATTTTTAATAAGTCATGAAATTTTATCTGATTCTCAACATGGCTTTTGTATAGACAGGTCAACTGAATCTGCTACTTCTCTTTTTGTTGATTTCATATCTAGGAATATGGACAACAGGAAGCACGTGGCAGGAATTTTCTTCGACCTGTCAAAAGCTCTCGACTGTATTGATAAAGAATTTATGGATTCCAAATCCGCGTTATTTTTTTCCGATTCAACGTATTCTACTTTGTATTTATAATTTGATAATAATAATAATAATGTTTTATTCATACTATTTCATTACATATTTCAATTCTACCAATCATGAAATGAACAAAACAGAAAAAACCACAAGGAAATGATTCGGCGCGTGGCATGAAATCTTTTTCCGAACATTAGACGTGAACATCATTAAAGTACAAATATTCTCTAATTTTGTTTAATTATAAAAACATACAAATCTAAAAATTGTTAATACTAGAAGATTTAAAATCCAAACCAAAGACTAAACTATTTGAAGTGGAATGAGATTATAAAAGTTTAAGTCATGTCACATTTCTAAAATATTGAATTTCATATCAGATTAAAGAAAAATTTTGGCACTAATATCACATTACAATAATTACATCAGAATAATTATATCTGCAGATTATATTATGAGCAACACCTTATGCAAGTCTATAACATACTCTGCTTGTAGCTATAAAGCTCTCTAGTGTTTCTGGCGGAAAAGTGAACAGCCAAGATCTGACCCTTTTCTTGAACATTTCGTATGAGTTGATCGTTTTGAGTTCGAGCGGTCATTAAAGAGTTTTGGTCCCAAAAAAGTATAACATTTCTGCCCTTTCGTTTTTTTTAGTTCTGGGTATCACAGCGTTAGTTTTATGCCTTGTGTTGTAATGGTGCTGAAGAGGTACCAACGACGATTTATGTCTGTACTGCCTCAAGAGGATCGCAAAAACAAATATCTGACTTACATTCATTATTGTCTTTTCTCTATATAGGCTACATGACGGATATTCTCGCGGTTTTTTATATATCATTTTGAGAATGCATTTTTGAATTGTTTGTAGATTATTGATAAGTGTTTTTAAGGCTTCTCCCCATACAATGATTCCATAGGAAAGATGACTTTCGACGAAAGTATGGTACAGTATTTTTAGATATTTTATATTAATGCTGTTAGATATGTTTTTGAATGTATAGACCATGAATCGCAACCTTTCAATTACATAATTGATTTGATATTCCCAATTCAAATGAGAATCTATATATATGCCTAGGTATTTGAGCTTATCGACGGACTCTATTTTCAGAAGGGTTCCGTCGTCATGTTGTATTTCCAGTTCTTTATATGGTGGTAAATTTGTAGAGTAGGATGTAAACGGCACAAAGTGAGTTTTTTTATAATTGATTGTCAGTATTTTATCGTTGAAGTCAGTCAACGCCAGTCAGTTCCTTCGTAGAAAACGGCAGTGGCGTCCGCGAAACTCACAACTTCCCCACACGTATCTTGTTCGAAAAGATCATTGATATAAAGATTGAAGAGAGATGGCCCCAAAACAGTACTTTGGGGCACTCTATATGTGATCATTTGATAACTGCTCATAGCTTTATTGATACTGACGCATTGTTTCCTGTTACATAAGTAACTCTCAAATAAGCACTTTGAATGGTCAACAGTGTCAAAACGGTTACAGCCCATCGTCTCAATCGATAGGCTTAATACTGTGGAATACCGTTTTTCGGGTTGAAAATCGCAAATATTGGTTTATTATCACTACCATATAAAAATTAGTTACATTTTCACAATGCGAATATTATTGATAACCCTTCCCTTCCCACTTGAGGGTAATTTTTTTCAGCCGACGAAAGTGATCGCGAGGCATATGCGATTGGGTGTTCCTGTCCATTCATGACATGAGAAAGAACACAACCCAACCCATAGGGACTTGCATCATTGGTTAATTTCAATAACATTGAAACAAGATTCGATGGAGAATTCGTGAATTTCCCCATAACTTTTGGACACCCGGCAACACCGCCTAGCGTACACTCTGCTGATGAGTTCCATCTTCCATCAACGAGTATGCGATTACATCTACTCCCTGAAGAGTATCTGTATCTTCCTCTCGCATGCACTCCATCATGTGACAGACGAGCCTATAGCGAGACTTCGATTTGATTAATCCGTCCATAAAAGCCGTCGGTGCTCTCTTGAGCCGACTTCTTTTTCATTTGTTTTGAATGGCAAGCTTTGATTCGAATATGAATGTCGAAGATGGATTGAAATTTTAAAAATTTGATTTCGAGAAGAGGTTTCGCGAATGGATTATGGCGAGAGTATTCTTTGAGAGGTGATCAATGATGCTTTTATCCAAGTGATGTTCGTGAATTGATATACGGTATCTATAATCAATCATGTAAGTAGGATTTTTGCGAAAAGTACCTGAATGGCATTGAACACAGCATTATTATATTATTGCCAGATGTAAACCT